TGTTGAGGTTGAATCTATTATGGTTCCCGGCGGCCACATATTTATGTCCTTAAGCTGCACCAAGTGACACCTCTTTTGCACTCCAATTTTGAAATCGGAATGGGAACTGTCCTTATTTTTCAGCATTGGAAAGCATCTGATGAAGTCGGTGGTTCCTAGTTTTTCTTTAACATAGTGCGCAAGTTGATTCGCTGTGTAAGGAGGTGGAATTCTGGACACCACCACATAATTCCAGTCTTCTCTTATGGCGGCCTTAGGAGGTTGCGATGAGACTATTTCGGGTGTAACTATTTTTTTTTGGCAAATCTATAAAAGCTGTACTATTTTGGTGATCTATAGGGCCCGTCTGCGTTGAAATGGATTTTTTCCGCTGCATATTATGATTTGTACAGCATATTATGTGTTATCCCTTGTAACAAGCTTTTCCAATGTGAGCGACATTTGTTTAACGCTCTGCCTAAGGTCAATCATTTCCTTCGCCATTTCTTCCTTAGATGGGTCATGAACTTGGACTTTAACAGACCCATTATGGTTGTCTATTAAAATTGATGATAAATTGAAGGTGTCTTGCTTTATCTCATTTATAGACTTAAATAAGGATTCTTGTGTGGTATCTGATATCCTGGATATGTCATCAATTTTCTTGAGTAAAATTTTCCACTTGGAATCGTGGTCACTCAGCATGTCATACATTTCAGTTATGACTGGAAAAATGTCAATATTTTTTTTTAAACAGAATCCTAGCGCTTCGATGATTCTGGTTGGACCTGGCATTCTTGAAGCTGTGTAATTCTATCATGAACATATTTTAATGTAGGGGAATCGCAGACAGTGCAGAAAAATCTAACATTGTGGTACTTTTGTTGACATAGCACCTTTGTTGTTGCCTTATCCAGGCCTGTACAGGTCATACAAAAACTTCTTCGACACTCTCCACTACAGCGAACCTTATAACTGTCCTTTTGGATTTTTTGACAAGAATCGCACTTAAATTCAGCCATAATAATGTAAATGATTAATAATATTAATAAAAGTCGATGACAGCTGAATAAAATTCGGAAGTATAAACAAGCTAAAACTCACGCACAGCGGAAACAAGTACGGCGAAAAATTATCAATTAATGTTGCAAAAAACTAACACACGTAAACAAAGTCAAGTTTAAACGAACAGTGAACTTTGAGTTGATTAGTTTTTGAATAAGACTAGATTAATTTAATTTCAAATAAATTTTACCACCAGAAAACCAAGATTATATGATATCGCTCTTTTCAACGAAGTTGAAGGAAGATATAGTGTATCTATCACAATACTTAATAGAACTACTACAATTATTACAAGAAAAACAAAAAGAAAAAATACCCAAATACCCCTTCACCTACTACTCAACTACAAAATAAACGAATATAATCTCTTAAAAACACTACACAACTACTTATTCTTGTATTCTACACTGAACAAATTATCAAACTTACTAATTTATCAAACAAAAAGAAAGAACAAATAACAAACTTATCCCTTCACCTACTACTTAACTACAAAATAAACTATAAAAACACTACTAAACTATTTTTGGTAGACTACACTAACATGCTACACTAAACACTATAATTAAACTTAATAAATTAATCTAATTTTACACTACAACTACAAAGAAAAAAGAAATAAGAACATTTTCTAAAACTAGGAGAAACAGAAGTTCCATACGTGCAACCAGGATAATAGGTCAAGGGGACAAAGAATATAAAATACTTTAAAATGTACCTTCAGAAAGAAAAAATACCTCGAAAATTGTCTAAACAAACATTTTTATTTCTTATCAGTGAGAACCATCGGCCTCGTCGTCCTTGAAGAATTTGTCGGGTATTTACAATGGTTGAATTGTATAATTGCAAGCTTTTATAGCATATCTAATAGACAAAAAGTATCTGGTCGATTAGTAACCAATTGGCACAGTCCGAAAATTATCGATTTTTATTTTCTCTGTTTTTATTGGTACCTTCAAAATTCAGAGTAACAAAAAATATTTTTCTGTAGGGAAACTGGTCCTGCCATCTAGTAGTCTTAGTCCATAAACGTCTTAGGTTGATCTACTTTAAAAATATATATACAAGGGTATTACCTAATGTCAAAGTGTAAAGTACTTACTGCAAATCAAAATGTCAGTAAGAATTTGGAAACATACCAACGTTTCAAAAAAAATATAAAACAACATATTTTCTGACAACGATTATAGATTTTCGGGAATGAAGATATAGTCGTCTCTATATCAGAAGAACCTAGTTCTGGGCACCAGTCTGCGAATGATATGTATTCGCAGTGGCGGATACAGGGGGAGGGCCCATGGGGCCCGGGCCCCCCCTAAAGTCTGTAAATTGTGTAAAATATTATTCTTTTGGGTTAAAAATGGCGTCCTAAAAAGCATAATCTACATTGCTTTTCATTTTGGGCCCCCCCTAAAATAAATTCCTGTATCCGCCCCTGTGTATTCGAACAGCGAATTTTTGTCACTTATACATAAATTTTAAAATAAATCCCTGCGTTTAGCGGTCTTAAAATTCACACGAAATTACTTCAAAAATCGGTTCAACATTTAAATTGATGAATAGGTATTTTTATACAGTTTTATAATAAAATTTACAATTATTTTCCGATTTACTATCTGTTATAGAAATATTTTTTATAGTTTTCTAAGACAAATTTTTATAACTTTTATAGTTATTTTTTTATTTATTATCAAGTTTCAATAAAATTAATTTTTTGATTTAAATCACATGATTAAAATTAAAAAAATCACTTGATTTAAATCACGATTTAAATCATGATTTAAATCATTTGATTTAAATCATGCCAACCCTGGTATTTACACAGGTCAGTAAAAATATAATAAAAAAAGAAAAAATCAAGCTTAAAAACATAAATGAGTTACTAATACTAAGTTAAAAATAATTTTATATAGACATTAAAACACTAAAACACTAAAGAGAATAATAGTATCAACAATTAACATAAAAACAGTAAAATTTAATATTTAAAAATTCCTGGAAGGAATAACAGAAATACCGCATCAGCAGGCCCCTAACCTCAGTCTTAAACCGCAAGAGGGGCATGTCCGCAATTTCCTTAGGTAATTGATTATAAAATTTAACTGCCAGGTACCCAGGTCCATCTTGGCACCTAGTCAATCGGTGGTAGATTGGCACAAGCCTATCCCTACCCCTTGTCTCATGGTGATGGACTTCTCCATGGACCCTATAAAGGTCTCGGTTCTTTTTTACATAAAGGAGATTTTCCATTATACAGGGTGGTCCGAACTGTATTCCGGAAACTTCGGTAGTATATTCTGCAGATAAAGTGAAGTAAAAAAGTTCTTATAAATACATGTCCTAAAATGCTTAGTTTCGGAGATACAGGGTGTAGAAGTTTCTTTTTTATTTCGATTTTTTCCAAATAATTTCTGAAGTAACGTCAATATTTGGATGAAAATTGGTGTCTGGTAGTTTGTTGACATGAGAAATTTGATTTTGAGGTCATTACGACTCCTATTTGTAGAGGGCGCCACCTACATGTGTTTTAAGTGTTTTCTTCAAAACTATACTGGAGCCGTTCGGTATAGAAGAGTAATAACTTTTTGTCCGCACATGTATAGAACTACTGAGTGAGAAAATTTACATTTTCTTAATTTTTTAGGTAAAAATGTCTCTTGGTAAAAATCGTTACAAACAACCCTTCTCGAGATATTTAGAATCGAAATAGTCAATACATGTCATTATTGACAAAAAATAAACATGTTGAGTAGATAGTTATTTGACTGAAATGATAAATTTGGGAAATTTTTATTTTTTTAAATTAATCATAAAATTTTCCTCGAAAAAATTATGATTGATGATGATTTGGCACAAAACATTTCAAATTTATTTTCAGTCTATTAAATATTTAGTAAACATGTTTAATTTATGTCAATGATGACAGGTATTGATAATTTCAAATATCTCGAGAACTATTACCCGTAGCGATTTTTATTAAGAGACCTTTTTTACGTTAAAAACGTCGTAAAATGTATATTTTTTTACTTAGTAGTTTTATACAGGTACGGACGAAATGTTCTTACTCTTCAAACAAGTTAAAAATATGTAGATAGCGCCCTCTACAAGTAGGAGTCATATTGACATCAAAATCAAATTTCTCATGTCAAAAAACTCCTAGACACCAAATTTCATCCAAACACTGACGTTACTTCAGAAATTATTAGGAAAAAATCGAAATAAAAATGAAACTTGAACACCCTGTATCTCCGAAACTAAGCATTTTAGGACATACATTTTTAAGAATGTTCTACATAAGAACTTTTATACTTATTTTTATCTGCAGAATATGCTGCCGAAGTTTCCGGAATACAATTCGGACCATCCTGTATATACTGACGGGACAGTCAATACACCCACAGTTCTGAATGCCTCCCCACAATCGGCCCGATAGTCAAGCCCAGCCAAGACCCGCACAGCCGCCCTTTGCAAGCCGAAGATCCTCTTTAGTTGGGATGTATGTCCCCAGGCGAGAATAGCATAGGACAAGATCGAGTGGAACAAAGCAAAGTATGCAGTCCTCAGTACAGGCCCGGAAACACTTCTTGAAAGGCGACGCAGAGCAAATTATCCCCTTCTAAGCCTAGACTTAATTACATTTATAATTATATTCTCTCTTGTAGATTAGAATATAATTATAAATTTAACGAATTTACAAGGAGATGCATCCTAATGTTAAATTATATTTTTTAAATGGGTCATCCTAAATAAAATTATATAGATTAATTTTATTTCTTGTTGCTGAATGTTCGATCCATTTTTATTATAAAAATCACAGATCAGGAATGAACAAATATATATAAAAAAAATCTTTTCAATACATGTATAAGCCAAATAAAATATATCTTGTGTTGAATGCTACCTATTGTAATTTCACATAATCCTAAATTTTAAAATTAATCAAATTTAGTACTCACCAGGGTTTGGATCAATTCCCGATAGCAATTCCAGCGGTTTTCTTAAAACAGACAATTTGCCTGGATCACCGGTCCTTTGTAGAGCAATGACTAGTTCCTGAACTGATTGTGCAAATGACTGTGGCGTTTGTAATTTGTCTATAATACTTTGCATATGTGATTTATGGGCAGTATCTCCATATAAAAGCGCCGACCACTGATCAGGTGCTATCCTTAATCCAGCTTCAGTAGCAATTTGTACTATCTGTGCATCGTGTTCTCTTCTTAGTGCATCGTATGTACGGAATTCCTCCTTCAGCTGCATAAGCGATGAGTCGCCTTCACGTTTTGAAACCTAAAAAACAATTAGTCGTTAAATAACAACTATATTTAAAGACTATATGGCTAGTCAGGCACAGAAATTGAAGCCAAATTTTTGAAATGGAGCTATACAAAATCCGCATAAGTCGGTCCTTTTGGTTCAACGGCTTTGAACTATGCAAGCGTGAAAAGTGCTTTGCGATTAGTTGATTTATTTTCATACTAACCAATACAAGTAGTTCTCAGAGTTTCTATCTACTACATAAATCAAGTTATATTATATTATAAGAAAAAAAGCAGATTACTTCTATACCAATCCATTTATTCCACTAAAAAAAGTTTCTAATATTTTTTAAATTAACTATGGATGGGTTTATAAATAAATACGTCATGCGTCGTCTCTTGTTGTTTTTAACCAGTTTTATTGGTTTATTTCAAAAATGACAGATCATATTTCAATATTATTGGTTTGACGCAACGATGAACGACAAACGGGCGCCTATGCGTATGAACTCTCTCTCTCTCTCTCTCTCTCGTCTGGTTTTGGCTCTGCTACTAGGCAATTGCCAGCTCAATTTCATGATGACCTCAATGTTGTCTGGCTGTACACCATATTGGGGCCATCTACCATTCCACAATAATCAAAACAAAAAAAAAGGTCCTTATATGATCATTTCGAAAGCTTCTCCCACGCTGGTAGCATCCGGCTACATAGGGCCTGGTTACCCCGTGACAACGTGAAAAAGAGTTGTCCTTTAATAAATTTTCTCATGGCACTTCAAAGTAGGCGAACTTGTATAAAAATGTTCATTGCACTTATAGTAGGCGAACTTTAAAAATGTTTCACAAAAATATGTATCTGAATGGGACACGAATCCACTTTAAAACTTTTATACCAAAAAATATTAAGCTTTTACAAAACGATTACAAGAATATTAACAGAAAACAAGAAACAAAAATTGACTCCCGAACAACCAACCATCAGACAGTATTCAATGTTGCCACGACGACTGACCGAACGGAAGTGCGTATGAACTCGATTTTTGAGAATTGTCAAACTCTTGCCAAATTATAGGTTATAATTTTGTGTCAAATTATGTCAAATAGAAATGATATATATTTTGCATTTTGGATTGTGTTGTTACTTGTGTTTCGTGTTTTTTTAAAATTAAGTGGAGGAAAACTCGAGGGAAAATTAAGTGTTGAGCCAGACCATAGTTTACAGTTAATATTCGGTGCACAGATACCGCCAGAGACACAGTTTGCCAGAGACATAGATAAAAGACTTATACTATTAAATAGATAGGCAACTTATAATACATTTCAATTTTATTATACAAGGGCGCCTGTGGTAGTCGGAGGAAGAAATACTAATGGAAGAGAGGGGTGCGGGGAAGGGGGGTTGTTTTAGTTAATTTAAAATAAATTTAGACATACATGTAAGAACACTTTGTGTGCTTTTAATTAGGTCGAACATATTATAAACGATAAATCAACTTAATTAAAAGCATACAAAGTGTTTTTATATGTCGGATATTCATTAAAAAATATATTAAAAAGACTAGAAATAGTATATATTAAGTTGTTACAGTTATAATTTAATCTTTGGCGGTTTTCTGCAAATAGCAGGCAGTTTTACATAATTTTCCTCCCTTTGAAGTGAATTGGAAACGGCTATATAATTTTGGTGTAGGCAAGATTCCCAGTTTGTTTCCGTTTGAGACCTGAAATAATAAAAACAAATTAAATTAGATGTAATCATCTGCTGATCATGCTAATATAACACAACGCGCGTCCTTAATTCCTTACATGCACCGTAAAAAAAATTAAATAACTGCTCAGCAAGTAGCATTTATTAGCAGTACTAATTTAAAAAATCTATAACTGTAAGTAGATATGTTTAATTTACTTACCATTGTATCCTTCAGAAACCAGGTGTACAACAATTAAACTCCATAATAATAAATAATTAAGAGTCTATACAAAACACAAATTGTCCCACCATTTTTAAAAAACATTATCTAAAACAGAATACTGGCAAAAACTCTGAAGGCATTTAATTTTACAATAATTCGACAAATCAAAACGAAATCAAACCGTAAAATCACAACAAAAGCGTCTCTGAGTGACAGTTAAAAATCAAATTTTATTATTGTCAGATATTGACATTTGCGTTGTTAATATTGAGTTTTAATATTTTGCGCCTCTGCATCTTGGAGGAAAAAACTATTTTTAATGAACCGTCATTTCCATTTAAGTTTCCCAGCCATGGCCAGAGATTATGGCCAGAGAGTTGTATTAGCCACAAATAAAGTTGTATACCATCTCGTATATGGTACCAAAAACTGGAGTATCTGTAAAATAACACCGCACGATAGGTAAATAATACATTTTAGTACTGCAGAAAAAAAATAAGATTACAGTTAATTAACCAAGATTAGATTTTTTCAGTTTTATACAGTTTTTTTCACAATATTTTGAAGTAATCACTTGTCACTCAAAATTTAAATATATTAATGTTCCAATTGTACCAAGTTATTTCTTTGTAAAATAAAATAAACTACTTTGAAATTAAAATGACAGACACATCTATCACTGTCACGGATTTTGTCGTTGGATAGACCATAGCGTCTTACTGTTCGCGCCTCTACTTATACAGTGTATCCCAGAAATAAGTGCAAGCATTTTAAGGGGTGGTAGATCTGGGTAAAAGAAACATATTTTCTCTTTATCGTTTTTCAAATAAATCCAAAATAACGGAGTTATTTATTCACTTTGAAAATTAAAAAAATAATAATTTTTTGCAAAAATTTTGAGAACCACTGGATATTTTCTGGATTTTCTTTCTTGTACATGTAATCTAATACCTACGTTGCCATATTACCAAGAAATTATGTTTTAACTAAAAACGAAAAAAATTTCGAATTTTCAAAAATCATTTTTGCAAAAAAAAATCATTGGCCTGTTTCTGGGGTTGAACTATACTACCAGTTAAAATACTTGCACTTATCTCTGGGACACCCTGTATATTTAAATGTAATCTCTGAAATATTTAAACAAAAACAATAAACGGACAGATATATCTATATTTCAAGAATATCTTTAAAATAACAGGTTTATATATACCGGGTGCGTCTCAATAGTGGCTCACCCCTATAACTTTTTTATTTTTATTAATCTGTTTCATCGGAAATGACTACAACATTTGATTTTTAAATGGCACCCTCGGTGTTTTTTTACTATATTCGATAGAAAATAACACTCTGAATAGAATAACATATCATATGTCAACTTTTGACATTTTAACATATGGTTTATTTAGAATTATAACTTGCGGTTCGTAACGAAAATTTGACTCGAAAAACCAAGTGTGTGATACCAAATTATTCGTAAAAAAATGCTTTTTCTAAATATGCTAATGAGTCACTCTTGTTCCATTTGAACAAATTGAGATATGATTAAAAATACGATTTAAACATTTTCTAACTGGCCAGGACAAGACACTGAAAACATTAGACGATGATTAAGAATTAGCGTTTTTAACATAGCCATGGCACTCTAGATTGAATTTTAAAATACAATTTATTATTAAGCGAGAATGTCAAAAGTTGACATATAATATGTCATTCTATTCAGAATGTCATTTTCTATCGAATAATGTCAAAAAATTCCGAGGGTGCCATTTAAAAATCAAAAGTTGTAGTCATTTCCGGTGAATCCGGAAGTGATCGGAAACATTTGAACACGTCAATCAATCCTAATTTATGTCATATACTAACATACCAAATCTCGTTTTTTTATCTGAAAAAATAAAAAAGTTATAGGGGTGAGCCACTTTTGAGACGCACCTGGTATACAGGGTCGCTGTTATGTATGGAAAAGATCGATTATTAGGTAAAATATATGAGGTACCCGCAAAAAGTTATAGGGTTTATAAATATCTATTAGCGGGTAATAAATTTAAGTATACAGGGTCGGTCATAAAGTCTTGGCACATAAAAAAAATGTGATACTTCATAATATTTGACATTAGTTCTCAAATTAGCATTTATAAATGTATAAAATGAGAGTATATCAAGTCTGGAAATTACAAAATTTTCATTTAACATTTCAATTCTTCAATTTATGTACATTGTGTATTACGTTTATTGCTAAAATTGAAGGAAGAATTAAAACATGCAATAATATACAGGGGGTTTCATTTTAAAAAAATATATGTTTAAGTTTTAAGTTTGATGTGACACAACTTTATGATCGACCCTGTATACTTAAATTTACTAGTAGCTAATAGGAATCTAAAAACCCATTACAACAGTATCACAGTTTCGGCAGAATGGCATCAATAAATCAAACCAAACACTTCAAAATTAATTAAATCGAATTGTTTAAGTGATATTTTCAAAAGTCAATAACTCGGAAACGGTTGCTTTGAGGTACATTGTGTGTATTTCGATTTTTGCTTAGAATTGAGGGAAAAATTGAAATATGTAATAATATACATGGGGTTCTATTCAAAAAAATGAAACTTTGATGTGCCACGACTTTATGAACGACCCTGTATACTTAAATTTATTACTCGCTAATAGATATTTAAAAATCCTATAACTTTTGTATTTAACTTTTTGTGGTACCTCCTTCTTTTATCTAATAATCAACCGTTTCCATACATAAAAGCGACCCTGAATAATATAAATAATGCCATTACGAAAAAAATATATATTATACAGGGTGGTCCGAACTGCATTCCAGAAACTTCGGCAGAATATTCTGCAGGTAAAAATAAGTAAAAACATGTGTATAAATGTATAAAGTTTAATTTTTATTTCGATTTTTTTAAATAATTTCTGAAGTAACATCAATATTTGGACGAAAATTGGTGTCTGGGACTTTTTGACATGAGAAATTTAATTTTGATGTCAATATGACTCCTAATTGTAGGGGGCGCCACCTCCATTTGTTTAAACTGTTTTGAAGAGTAATAACTTTTCGTCCGTACCTGTATAAAACTACTGAGTGAATGTACATAATACGGAAATATATATTTCCGTGATTTTTTACGTAAAAAATGTCTCTTGGTAAAAATCGCTACGACCAACGGTTTTCAAGATACATATTTAGAATGGAAATAGTCAATACACGTCATTAATGACAAAAAAATAAGGTTAGGTTAGGTTGCTGAGGTTTGGGATCATGTTTGATCCCTCACTCGGAGGCCTTGGGCCTATTGCGATACCCCTGTTATTGTACCAAACCTTCCTCTCATTCTTTCTTTGCGTTAAAGCACTTCCGAAACAGCTGTTTGCAAAGTTCCCGATGTCGCTGATGTTGGCTTCTGCTGCTTCCTCTAGTCCCTCCAAAAAACCTTGCCCTAAAGTTTTAAAGCGTCGGTATTCCAGTACCGGACAGTGGCACAGCAGGTGCTCTATGGTTTCTTCTTCCTATCCACATTCCCTGCAGTAGTCGTCGTTAGAAACTTTCCATCTCACGAGGTTTATTATACCCCCGTGGGACAGTTTCCAGTGACGACACCTACAATTATACGTACTAGGTCCTTTTTGTGCTCTAGTAGTTGTTTTGTCTTTTTGCTATCTACCACTGGCCATAGTCTTCGAGCTGTAACGCAGTCCTAACGATGTTGCCACGTCTCTTGCTGCTTGGCCTTGATGGCAGTTCCTATAGCTTCCTTCAGTGTATTGATCGTCACAAGTGGTGGGTCATCTGCCACGGCCTTTCCCCTGGCCCCGTCTTTGGCGAGTCTGTCTGCTTCCTGATTGCCCACCACATTGCTGTGACCTGGTACCCAGCAGAGAGTAGCCTCGCCCTGACGCAGCCAGGACAGTGCTTCTAGGCATTCCATCATAGCTTTCGATCTCACTGATTCCATGGTGATACTTCTTAAAGCGGCCAAGCTGTCAGAGTATATCACTATTGATCTATCAGCAATTTTCTCTCGTATACAACTAGCCGCTTCCTTTATGGCGTAATCCTCTGCTTGTAGAACATTACAGCCATCCGATAGCCTTATGTCATATCATAAGGCCATCGTCGGATGTCTAGTTCCTCTGAGAAGATGCCTATACCTATGCCTCCTGAAGTTGCGGAAGCATCTGTGTATACTGCTATCTCTTGAGTGTTCATTACTCGGTTGCTTTCCCATTCTTCTCTTGTCGGGATGCAAATCTTTATTTTTTCTCCAAAATCATGTTTGGTGAGCATATAGTCCGTTTTCTGGTCTAGCAGATGTGTTGTCTCGTGTTCACCATGATTTTACCTATCACTGGCAATATCCTCGAGTGACCGTAGTTGGTCTGGTTCCACAGATTGGATTCCCTTAATCTTAGGGCACCCTTAGCGGCCAGATCCTTCACGAGCCAGTAGATTGATTGCAAGTCCAGAATTGCTTCTAGCGCAACTTGCGCTGTGTTGTTCCTTGCTCCAGTTGTACCTAGAGCTGCTAATCGCTGTACTTTTGTAAGGCTTTTTCTATTAGTCTCTTTAAGTACTGCTTCCCACCATACTAGTGCTCCCTAAGTGATGATTGATCTAACTATAGCACTGTACATCCAGTGTATAATGTACGGATGCAGCCCCATCTCTTTCCAAATAGTTTTTTACATGCACAGAATGCATTTATTCCCTTTATCATCCTTTCCTCCGTGTTCCTTTTCCAGGAAAGCTTTGAGTCCAGAATGATTCCTTAATATTTTGTCTCCTTAGCAAGTACAAGTGTCTTCCCTTCCAACTTGGTAGCGTGAACTTGGGTATCTTGTAATTTCTTGTAAACAGAATGAGTTCGGTTTTGTCTGGGTCGATACCCAAACCATTCCTTATTGCCCATTCCGTTAGCTTCTTCAGAGCAAATTCCATGATGTCACTGATTGTCTGCAAGTCTTTGCCAACAATCAATATTACCACGTCGTCTGCATATGCCTTTATCCTAATTCCCTTCCTTGTCAGAGAGGTCAGGATCGGGTTCATTAGAATCAGCCACAGCAGAGGTGATAATACCCCTCCTTGTGGCGTGCCTCTTGTTGCGCACTTTTTGGCTGAGCTCTTTCTCATCTCCGATGTCTCTCTTATATTCTTACATGACATGAGTAGATATTTATTTGACTTAAATGATAAATTTGTGAACTTTTTATTTTTTTTTAATTAATTATAAATTTTTCTTCGAAAAAATGACGATAAAACAGTTTCTGTTAAACTTCTGGCACAATAACTTTTCAAATTGATAATTTCAGTCTAATAACTATTTAGTCAACTTGTTTAATTTATGCCAATGATGGCAGGTATTGATAATTTCGATTCCAAATATCTCGAGAACCATTACTGGTAGCGATTGTACCAACTCGTAAATGTATATTTTTTTACTCAGTGGTTTTATACAGGTACGGACGAAAAGTTATTATTCCTCAAACCAGTTAAAAAACATGTAGGTGGCGCCTTCTACAAGTAGGAGTCATATTGACATCAAAATCAAATGTCTCATGTCAAAAAACTCCCCGACACCAATTTTCATCCCAAAATCGACGTTAGTTCAGAAATTATTTGAAAAAAATCGAAATAAAAATGAAACTTAACTACACCCTGTATATCTGAATCGAATCATTTTATGACATATATTTATACGAACTATTTTACTTATTTTTATCTGCAGAATATGCTGCCGCATTTTCCGGAATGCGGTGCGGACCACCCTGTATATTAGAGTTTAAAACAGTGCGCGGTCAGGTGACAACCAGTGACAGCTTTCAGCGATGAAGTAGACGAATCAGATCGTTTTATTTCAGGCGTGCGCATAAAAATTGCGTTGAACCAAAAGTATAGACTTATGCAAGGTTGATAGTCCCATTTCATTTGTTTGGCTTCACTTTCCACTTATTGTGTAAATAGGATATTAATCATATGGTCTTTAAATATATTTGTTAAATACGATCCACAATAATCTAAAAATATTTTGTCTTTATGTATTACATTCTTTACAGACATTTTTCAATGTTTTTGTAGAATTGGAGTTGACTTATTAATATATATTTTTATTACTATAATTTTTGTATATTTTACTAAATATCCTAAATAAATATGTTTTCATTCAAATGGTCTAAGTCTACAACAAAAAGGTCTGTTGTGGAAATAAAGATTGTAAAATTAGAAAATATTTTAATTTAAATGCTAATATATCAGTTATTATTTAAGATCTTATGTGTTACTCATTTTTCTAACAATGTTTGAATTTCAAGATCCAAAATATGTTTAAAAAAGGCTGAAATATCATACAACGTAGCACTCAAAATTGGCCAAAACTAAAAAGAAGTTGTTTTATTTCAATACAATTAAAAAAAATGTTTCTGTTATATTCAAAATAATATAAAACAAAATTAAATATGAGGGAATAATTTTATGATTTTAGTACCCAAACTGAAGAGGAAGCTCTTTTACTTTCATTTCATGACATTTGACCTAGATTTTCTTAAGCCCCGTCCTCAAAGCTATGCTGTGTCGCAGGCGACACCGGATGACACTTCTAAGAACCAATGAGAGCTGTACTAAATTTAAAATTGAGTGAGATCACATGTCTATATTTTATAAATTAAATTGTTTGATGTGTTTTTGAAAGTGGGCCTTTTATGCCCTCGCTAGGGGAAAGTAGGACGGACACCCTGAATTACATTAATAATACCTCTTCAAGGTGAGCTAAAATATAATAAAAGCTTGAAATTTAGTAGATTTATTTTCTACAATATATGTATAAGAATTTATCTCATAATATGTGATAAACATCAGGGCGTGGCAAAGCAAGATGGGAATTAAATGTGTAACTACATTATTCTGTTTTATACCTATTTAAAATAGATAGCTGACATACTAAATTATACTTATACATACAAACCTACCTTAAAACATGAGGCTCTATACAACAATTGTACAACATGGCCAATGCTAGTCTTTGAAGCTTGGGGAAAATGAGGTTCCAATCTTTGAACTACAAACATAACCAACACCTTCCTGGAAAGGGCAGATCCATCTTCCAGAGCTAACAGAACTAGCTTTAATACTTCCTCCTGCATTGCTGCAAGATATTTAAAAAAACTGATTTAATTTCATAATTACTTAATATACTACTTAACTTACCAGGTCCCAAAAATTGACATCCTCTGGCACGTACTGCAGCCCATAAATTGGCAGAAAGTTGTTGTGGATTCTGATGTTGCAATATGAGTTCTGTAACAGTTCTTTCACCTAACGAACGTGCTGCTCTTTGTGCCCTAGTACGTCCTTCATCTTCTACTAATTGGCAATTTATTAAAGTTACTAGCTTCCTTTGCATAGGTCTTGACAGAATACTCCCACTTCCATTAGAATGTGGCTTTAAATATAAAGCTAGTTCTTCAACATATTTTTTACATTTTAAATAATAACCTTCATTTTCTTTAGAAATAAATTTGTAATCAAATTCATTTTTCTCGACTTCAACAGTGTGACCAACAAGTTGCAGTAAAGCAGTATTAACAGGTAAACTTTCTATGTCTATATTAACCAGTGTTTGATCAAAGGGACATTGTTTACGATGCAAATTCAGTAAGCAACCTTTACATATAGTATGTCCACAACCTAAACTAATGGGCCTTCGCAATTTATCATCAAATGCGTTGCAACAAACTGGACAGTTAAGAAATTCTGTCCACTGTGGAGCCTGAATTGGCATACTAAAATTAAGAACAATAAATACTATTTATTTATAAACAATAAAACTTAAACCATGTGATGAAAAATACTTTCCAATATGGCAAGAGTATTATATATTTCCTGCCTGTGTTTGCCCTCAAAATATTTCTAAATGATCTAGACTTACCTTAAAATATTAAAATCAATCTTACATTATGAACGTAAGATGTTATTTTTGTTGTGAAATTTTTCACATCTGCAAAACTCACGTCACTCAAATGCAGCGTTGCCAGTCAGAGACTTTTCCAAAAAAAAACAAGAGTAGATCCTTAGTTGAGATAAATGTACTAGATTTTGATCGATTGTACGGAAATAAATAAATTATGTGTGTAGAGTGTTTTTAGATATATACCGTTTTAACGACTACGGAAGCTAAAAGAAAACCTCTAATCATGGTATAATCGCAATATTATGCATCAATCCAAGCATCAATCATCAATTTTGAGAATAAGTTTGATGAAGTAGTTGGGTAGAGGCACAGGTAGAGGTGTGTAGTTCATACGACCCATAAAGTAACACCAAAGGTAGGTATACTTTATGCAAACCAAAGAAACCAGAGAATAGAAAGAAACTTTATGATACGACAGGACTACAGGGTTGTTAAGTAGTTTATGAAGCAAAAAACTACGCCAAAAACTACACGTAGTTTTTTGTATTAACTACGTTTTAAAATTTTAAAAACTACTTTCAAAAACTACATAAAAACTACATTAAAAACTACCTACAAAATTATAGTAAAACATAAACAATTTAGATTTTAAACAAAAATCAAGCCAAATTCTTATCATGAAAGCACACAGGCTTATAAAATCACACGGCAGGCTAACTCGCTTTGGCGGGAACGCTACGCGCATATCCTAGCGCACGCCGCCATTATGGGTGCCAGCAACATAAATTAACTAGTGTCGTAGTCAGTCGTAGTCTTTAGATGCCCTAGTAGACACTCGATGGTAATTTTATAGAACTCCAAATTTAGTTTCTTCCGCATCGCCAGACGGCGCAAAAGACATTAAAGTACAGGTTTCTAATTTATATATGAAGATGACATGACAGTCCCTTAACTTACCAGGTCCCAAAATTGACATCCTCTGGCACGCATCGCAGCCCATAAATTGGCAGAAAGTTGTTGTGGATTCTGATGTTGCAATATGAGTTCTGCTCACCTAACTAACGTGCTGCTCTTTTTGTGCCCTTAGCACGCCCTTCATCTTCTACTAATTGGCAATTTATTAAAGTTACTTAGCTTCCCTTTGCATAGGTCTTGACAGAATACCCAATTTGTTTAGAATGTGGCTTTAAATATAAAAGCTAGTTCTTCAACATATTTTTTACATTTTAAATAATAACCTTCATTTTCTTTTAGAAATAAATTTGTAATCAAATTCATTTTCTCGACTTCAACAGTGTGACCAACAAGTTGCAGTAAAGCAGTATTAACAGGTAAACTTTTCTATGTCTATATTAACCAGTGTTTGATCAAAGGGACATTGTTTACGATGCAAATTCAGTAAGCAACCTTTACATATAGTATGTCCACAACCTAAACTAATGGGCCTTCGCAATTTATCATCAAATGCGTTGCAAACAAACTGGACAGTTAAGAAATTCTGTCCACTGTGGAGCCTGAATTGGCATACTAAAATTAAGAACAATAAATACTATTTATTTATAAACAATAAAAACTTAAAACCATGTGATGAAAAAATACTTTCCAATATGGCAAGAGTATTATATATTTCCTGCCTGTGTTTGCCCTCAAAATATTTCTAAATGATCTAGACTTACCTTAAAAATATTAAAATCAATCTTACATTATGAACGTAAGATGTTATTTTTGTTGTGAAATTTTTCACATCTGCAAAACTCACGTCACTCAAATGCAGCGTTGCCAGTCAGAGACTTTTCCAAAAAAAAACAAGAGTAGATCCTTAGTTGAGATAAATGTACTAGATTTTGATCGATTGTACGGAAATAAATAAATTATGTGTGTAGAGCATAGAGAAATATAAAATAAAAGAGTTGTCATTTCCATAGTCAAAAGTAGGCAACACGTTTAACGAGGATCGATTGTAGCGCACCCTTGAGCCCTAACTGAACTAATCGAAATATGACAGACCTTATCGGTAAAATAGGTATCTGCATTGCCTACCACAAAAAAGGCGGGCTGTTTAAATATGAATATAAAATTTTATGTATTTTTTAAAATATTACGAAATTAAAACTGCAAAAATATAACGAAAGTTTATTTTTAAAAACGGAATATTTGAAAAGTATAAACTATTGTAGACTTTTCAAATGCTTACAGTTAAATGCTAAATTAAATTTGATAATATAAAACATATATGCTGAATTAACTTCGAGGGGTAAACTCCTGATGAATTTCTGTACACTAATGCCAAGGTAATGCCAAATAATTTAGTACTAATACCAATAATGCCACGAAAATGCCAACATCTTGTACACCACCAAAATACACCAGCGATTTACCCTTCGATTTACCTATAGTATTATAAAACGTATTTAACAACGCCACTAACAAAGCATATAAGATCGCAGGGTTTGCAATCTATGCTATTATAACAGATAAAGATTTAAATAAGATATCATCAAAAATTAATTCACCTTTAAGTTGGATTTATAAACTCAGCAGTCAGCAGTTGAAGTTCAGTTGATGTAGCAAATGTTCAACACTATTAAATGAAGGCGCAAATTTATAGTCAGTTCGTTTTACGTTCACAGAGTTCAGAGATGGGCAATGTCTTTACATATCGAACTTGCTTTCCATGATACCCTTTCCTGGATCGTGTTCAAATCACATCATCGGCTGAACAAAATATTACATGATGATGGCAAAACACAGCACAAAATATAAAGTTCAAATCATAGAGAAATATAAGGTCTCTCGTTCCTCGGGAAATAAAACTTCGTCCATAATTTCTGTACGCACAAACAAACACAAACAAACAAAGTTTATGCTACACAAAAATAATAACAAAATTCCAAAATTCAAAACAAAATTGTAAACAATTGCAAAATACAAACAATTTGCTGTCATGTCACTTGTCATTCTTGTAATGACACGTGACAGGTAGCAGGTGGCGACGCTTTGGAGCCCTAACTGAACTATGCAACATTATGGCCAAGTTAGACAACCTTTCAAACACTCTTTTATTTTAGTTACTTTATGGTGTAGAGTGTTTTTGGTAAAGGTGTGGATCCGGTGGCTGACCTTGAAGCCCATATTTGCTGCAGTTGATCATCGATACTACGCAAGCGCACATTGTCGATGTTGCCAAATTGAAGTTTATTTTCCAAATACTTTTAAATAAATACTATTATTTTAAACGTATTTGTTATTTTCCAATTATTTTTAGTTAAAAACAAATGTTTTAATAATACAAAATCTATAATTAATTTTATAATTTCAGATTTATCTTGATATCAAAAATTAAGGTAAGAAGGACAATGAAGATTGTGAAATGAAAGTATGAATATATAAAATTGTAATAATAATAACATTTATTTATATATTATATTTACATTAGAATTAAAAACTCATCATTTACGGATTTTTTCTTAATGGTTTTAAATTTATTAGAATTATTTTATTTCTTTCAAGTTATTTAATTTCTAGTTATTTACAGGCACCAATAGTTTTGATTATATGTATTGATGTATTGAAGTACTACCATGACGAGTCTTATAGAACAATACACGTCAATGGGAGATAGAGGTAACATTTTACTTATAATGTTACTAATATAATATACTTTGATTATAATGTTTGTATCATAATTTCTTAAAAATATCAAGTTAGTGGATTACTAGCAATTTTAGACATATATTTTATCGAAGAGTGTGGTGATAAGAGTAAAATAAGCTTTATGTTTTATCTTTTTCTCTTTAGAAGGGAGATGGTTTGTGTCGTAAAATACATTACAGTATTTAATATCGTGTACTTTGATATTATTTTCTTAATTTACTGTAATTTCTTGTTTCCTATAATGCCGAATCTTGACAATATGGTGAAGGTTGAGTTTTGATCTTATTAGTTTTATACCTGTGTTTATACAAAACCAAATTAAGACTTAGTTAGTTTGTGATTTATATTTCTTAGATCTAGATGTAGATCTTTCTTATAATATTTGTTATGTCTTAATCTTAATACTATATTAAGCTTTGTCTGGAAAATAAATGTTAAAATATCTTAATTTTGCATATCCTATCCATCCACATCCTTCCATTAGGAAAAATATGGTTTATAAATCATATATGCTAAGAAAATCGCATAAATTAGGTGTAAGAATAGAGAAATCTTAAGGTAGCAGAAAAATTAACTCATGTTAATGTTGCTGAAGCTGATTCTACAATTTTAATTACGGAGGCTAAAAGGCCTTTTAAGGCCTCCGTAGTTTTGATGGAATGTTAAAAAAAACTATTATGAACATGACATGGAGCTACAGCATTTAAAAATTAAAAAAAAAGAAAAAACTTGGACACGTCCCTTTTAATTTCCCGAATTTTTAATGAAGCCCTTTTTAAACGTAGCATAATAATCTAGAGCAATTAGATTAATTATAGGAATCTAGAGTTTTATTTCTATTTAATTTTATTGACTATGAAAATACATAATAAGCGTTCACGTGTTGTGCGAAATATTAAAATAATAATATAAATAATATACGGGCGTACTATGATTGAAAAAAATAGCGTCAGCGATGACTATGTAATGAAGATCGCTGTCATTTTATATGGGAAATGTCCTCAATCGTCATTTCTCAGCCAACTTAACACCGTTTTTTCGATTATACGGTATATATTGACAAAAAAACACTGAAAAGCACATATTTGTTTTCTACTGAAAATAATTCCAAAATAACTTGCAATCTGGCAACATCGAAGATATGCGCACGCGTAGTGTCTGTGACTATATGCAGCAAAGACTCGTTTCAAGGTCAGCCACCGGATCCACACCACAGAACAGATTAAAACAGAACGAAATCTTCCGTACAAAAAATTAGGACAACATTTTGGTACGCCATCTATGACACGGATTTAGAACTACAAATTAAATTTAAAAAAGAAATCTGCAATTAAATTTTAAAAAGAAATCTGCATTGCATTCAAAGCAATTTTGGCAGCGCCATCTATAGTATTATATTACACCTAATTAATTTAATATACCGTATGTTCGAAAAATAACGATTCCAAGTTAACTTAAAAATGACGATCGATAACATTTTCTTTGTAAAGTTATATGGTTAATGTTATCAATAGTCATTTCTAAGTTAACTTGAAGCCGTATTCTTCGATCATACAATATAAA